ATCCAAAGCTATACAATCAAGAAATAAAACATTTTATGATTTTTTTATAAAAAGAATAGTAACAATCTTAGTCGTAAAAACTATGCCTTTGAGGAATGCAATCTTCAAGAACCAATCTTGTAGCCGCACAAGAATAACCTTTCCTGAATCTACCTTTGTTCAGACTCTTCACATCAACTTCTACTGCAAAGATTGCACATACCGGTCTGTGATCTGAAAACCGCGATTCGCCTCGAATATACGAAAGCTGTTCTATTCCTTCTCCCCTCCATAGAATCCGATCACACCTGAAATAATTCAAAATTCAAAACAACACACAAGAGCTTTATAAGAATCAAAAACACACCACACAAAAAAACGTGGTTCAAGGTTTTGGGTTTTCGGGTAGTACCAAGCGGGAGTACGGCGTTTTTTCTTGGACTTGGTGGTTTCTCCTGCGTATGCATCTGAGTTTTGAGTGTATTTATAAGTCGGAGCAAAGAAGATTTGACCTTCTTGAAATCCAGGGAAAACTCTTCCTGCTCCTCTTTCCAAGTTAAGCTGAGATCATTAGAGATCAGAGAAGTTAGTTAATCGCGAAAAGAACGAGAATTTTAAGACTTTAAGATCATTATAAATTACAAAACCTGATCTTTCTCAAGAAGAGTATCCCAATCATTGTCTTCTAGTAATACTCTTGTCTCTTCATAGGTTAAAGCAACTCTGTAATTCAAATCTCCAAGCCAAAGCACTCGGCTGCAAACTCAAAAAACAGAGTATTTAGCGGTTTTCATTTGCTTTTATAGAAAGAAAAGGCTTATGGTTTTCATAGAAACATACTCGTGATCGATGATTCTTTCGGGTGCGCGACAACTAGGGTTCTTGGTGATTTTAGGGAATTGAGTATGTTTCAGAATCTCAGCTACATCTGCGTTCCGCCTCACCTCATCACCTTCTTTCTCACCAGAAGCCAAATGGCTACACACAAAGCAAAAGCTTGTTTGGTGCAATGACATGCTTATAGCAATACATCCCTGTAAAAAAAAAAAAACACACACACACAAACATTCATATTCTTGTTGCTTGTGTCATAATCTTTGATGTATAAAGAAACGTTGTTTTTTACCTTGTTTCCCAAGCGACCCATGATTCCTCTTCCAACAGAATCAAGTCTAAGATGAGATATATGTGGAATCAACTCTTTCCTAGCCCAAACAGACAAAAACAGACCAACCATTTGTTTACTCGCAATCAATCGATAACTCATTTGTCCTGGCATCCTCGTAGTCGCGGGAACATCATCAAACAAGAAATTCTCATGAACCCTAAAATTCTCAGGCTCCACATTGTTACTGTTATCTGCAATAGGATCACTAAACTTTTTCGACTTCCTAGCTTCCCAACCAACCGAGTTATCGACAACCGGACAGTTACAAGTCTTCAAAAGACTCGAATCCGCTCGAAAGTTTCTGCTCAAGACTTTGAGATTCGGTCTTTGAAAGAAACTTAGACTACTTGGTGTTCTTGATTCTTCAT